CGTTCCCCCAGGGAAGGCAGCGGGACAGGAGCACGGCTGTGCTGCCGCTTACAGGAGACGGGTGCTGTAAGTCTGCTTCTTTCTGCCTGTGGTGACTGCAGAAACGCATTTTATGAAGCTGACACTTACTTCAATGCCGTATTAATTCATTGCTCGTTATGTGATGAAATGGGGTGAGAAAGAAATTGAAAAAAGCTTGGTGATTTTTCTCCAAAGAAACGCTTCATGGTGGTGAGGTAAAGTGGGAGAAGGTGTATTTTATCGCTTTTTTTTTTTTAACTGAGGCTGAATTTTAGTACCACTGTTGGCCCTGTTACCACGGTTTATTTGTCTATAATACTACAGGGGAATTAACGAGCAAGGACAGTTACCTGGCACCAAGCTCAAGTCTCCTTTTCCCCCGATGCTTTTGTCATTTGTGTCTTTCTATCTCCTCCAGTAGGTAATCCAGACTTACACTAGTGTAAACATGAAAAGAGAACTTCCGTGTCAGGGGGATGGTTCTAAAAAACCTGCAGTAGGTACAAGACATAAGTAGATCTTATTCTCAAATGTACTTAAGTATAAAATCATTATTACTCATACATTACAGACTTTGATCCATGCAATAATAAAAGCTCTATCCAAGAATCGGAGAAGCAGTGGCATTCATATTCTTCATAAACTGGATATAGAGACTACGAAACAGTGCATACCGCCAGACTGGATGAAAACCCAAATGAATAGTTCATTTTCAGATGAATTAGGCCGTATCACAGATGCAACTGATGAGGAACAAGATGACTTACCTTATGATGAAGATGTAGGAATAACCTGTAAATGCAATAATAATTCAGATAATCTGAATGACTGTACTTGTACAAAAGATATTTCTGGTATTTTAAACTTAGCCTGTTCTGAAGATAACAGAAACGTAAAAGCAACAGCAAGTTATGAAACTCATCCACAGCCTGAAGAATTCTCCAGTCACCACAGAGATGCCTTAGGAACAACGGGAATTTCAGTTGAAGTGCCTGGAAGGGAGGCTGCCTTTAAGAGGGAATTACCTGTTGGTAGTTTTAGTAAACCAGATAGCAAAGAACATCTAACTAACTCAAAAATGTCCAATGTCCTTTTGCGTCATTTTTCTAAGGGAGAGCTAATAAGCACCTGCCAGTTAATTGAATGCGAGACAATACCAGAGACATCCTTTACTGAAAGTATCGATGACACTCTGAACAAACCTGAGCCTTCAGAACACGTCAAAGGCCCTTTAGCACGTGAACAGTGCACAACTAACTTTGAAGAATATCACTTAGAAAAGCACAAGGAAGTAAATGCTGGTGATAAAAATCAAAATTTGCTAAATGGAAACAGATGCGTTCCAAAGAAACCTACTGCTTCTACTGTTACATGTGGGTGCAGACAAGAAAATTCACAATTGGTTAACGAGAATGAAGATACACGCATCTTTCAGAACGTGAAAGAAGAGAGGACCCTGTTTAAGGAAACAGTTTCACCCCACAAGCTCAAACACGGCCAAGGTCAAGCTCACTATTGCCTTCCTGACTTCTCCAAAGTTTCTTCAGAAGTTGAAGTACCAAAAAGAAGTGACAATATTAACTCAGTTCCTACAACTGAAAGAGCAAAATCCTTCCCTGTTTCGCTAAGTCAGTCGGTAACTGTGAACAACATTCTGAAAAATAAGAACTATTTCAATTCTGCTGAAGTAGAGAATCGAGAAGAAATGAGCATTCCAGAGCTGTTGCAACAGCTAGAGGTAATTAAAATGCTTTAAGCAATTCTGAATACTTGGTAAAGAGTGGTTTACCATAAGAAGATATTCTGTGGCCAGTAAGATCTAACATGACTAGTTCACACAGGCAGTCTTACAGGTATCAGCCAGTCTATCACTTTAGTCAACAATTGCTTTCGCAAATAAAGTTCTGTGGGACTGAATTTATATGGAACTTTCATTACCAAATATTTAATGATGCTCTGGAGTATTATTTGCCATTATAAAGCATCCTATCAAATCGTTACAAAAGTCACTATAAATTGTTATTTCTAGTATTATATGTAAATGGTCAAATTAACCAGAAGTACTTTAAAGTTTTTCTTAAAAATATATTTTTATACTGTGCCTGCGTTTATGTTGCCTTTTTTCGTATCTTAACACTCTTCAACTATTTATAATGGTATTTATTGACAAGTCAATTCTTCTTAAAGGATTTGTTTGACAACAGTATTTCTCTTACTGTAGTAAATTTCTTTTAAAGTTTGTTAGTAATTAGATAATTGCTTCTCAATTTCATGCCCTGCCACGGAGTTCACTCACAGAGCTATACAGATGCTTAAGTCCATTCCTAGATTTATATCTTAGTAAATCGTTCGAGATGTAACAAGTTTTAATAGTTTTCCCTATTATTTCTTGGCTGCAAACAAGATGCTGACACAGCATGCTGACACCCAGAATCATACTGACCATCTGAGATCGAATCCTAAGGTAAATCTCTCAGAACAGATTTTTTTTTTTCCCTAATTCATTCTCCTTTATCTCTAGGACTATAAATATTCCCAAAAACTATTTTGTCACCTCCATATCGTACTTCCCGTTTATACAAATCCTCTTTAGATTTTCACAACATAGAGTTGAAGTATTTGAGTATTTATATGAGACACTATAGATATATCAAACTATAAACACAGCAAATTATATGGTATTGTTATAATAAACACTTACTAATAACTCGCCCTATGTATTTTTGAGTTACTTCTAAATGCTTTGCTTATGTCCACAGGTGTTCTATACATTGTTTCTATAACCAAAGTTCTCATTTTAACAGATACTTCCTCAGTCAGATTTTCCAAATGCCAGCACTGCCATTTATTCAGGAGACACTGGGACATTCTCCGAAGTCTTTATATCACATGCTCCAATCCCTATACAATCTACACGTGGTTTGTCTAAAGCAAGTAAATAAAATTACAGTCACTATGCAAATGACTGTTTTATGTAATTTGATAGCACTTTTGAGCAGAAATTCCAATTGACTGATCTTATCTTGTATTATGTAGGATTACACTGTGGAACAACAGCATCAGCATTACCAGCAGCTGGCACAGTAGAAGCACACTGTCTAAATCCTCCTCATTTACTGCCAGAACTAACACTAGGAGAAAAGATGTCTCGAATACTAAAGGATCAGACAGATCAGCTGATAAAGAAAGTAAAGAGCTCTGTTTCAATATATACTTTGCACTGATGCTCAAATTCTATATTCATTTGGCATATTAGTTTGTAAAATCCCAAATAAAAGTCTAATATTTTGTCTTGAAGGTGGATGACTTCTCTAAGATTATGACCCAAGAGACATTCCTTTTACAAGACAACTATCTGGTAAATTAATTTATGTATTTTCAGTTATCTGAAATGCACTTTAAGTGGCTGTAGACTCACAATTTTCTGGCAAGAGACTCCATGTTTTCCTCAAACAGACATTTAAAAATACTCTTTTTCCTCAATCTCAGACTGAAATTATGAATTTAAGAGGCAAAAAAATGAAGGTGTTCAGTACGTGGCTGAATTCTTAAATCTGTTTTAAGGATTACAACTTAAAACTACTAGTGAAAGGCCTTAAGTTGCCATATAAGTTATGAATTTTGACACGTAGGGTATCAGTTCAGAAGTCATGGTTTAGTATTTTACTTGTACATAATAGAGCAGCACAGAGTACTAGGTGGACATACAAGATGCAGTCCTGTTCCAATTCAGAGCAGTACCAAAATTCTTATCAACACCACTGCAAATAGCATCTGGCTTACATAGCATAAGTAGTTATCACTATGACTTGCTAAATCATAATGATATTTTCTATTGAATTATTTCTTATTGGTGAAGGCATTAAATCAATTGAAAAGATACCTTGATGCCTTGGAAAGGAATTACTTAACAGCTAGAGAAGAGCACCGTAATTTACAGCTGCAGAACTACAAGGACAAGTCTATCAACATTGGAGAGTTTGATCCTGAAAGGTTAGCAGATAAGTGCTAAGTAGTACATCAGTATATTTCCCATATTTTGAGTGTCTTACAACCACTACTTCATTCATACATTAGAATTTTTCTGAAGTGAAAACATTATCTTAATGTTATATGTGGTAAGCTAGAAGTGATTTGGCCAAAATTCATCTTGGGCTTTATATATCCTAGTTATAATTATGATATCTAATTGATTAATTCAAGTTCTTAAAAGGGACTCCGTGAATTCCATTAATTTATTTTTTTTCCTATGGGAAGTGTACAGCAATGCCCAATATGGCTATCATAGTAAGAAATAAAATATCAGTTTATACAGGTTTCACTAACTGTGTATTGCAATTGGGTTTAGAAAGGTGGAAGGGGAAATATTTAGACTTGGCATGCTGCTTGAAGACATCCAAGAACAAACTGATGACAGCAAATGCAACTTGTCGTCTTTGCTTACTTCCTATGAATCTGCCCATTCATCATATTCTCTTTGTGAGGTAACTCAGTTTTATTATTTAAAGACTACAATTATTCTGTTTTACTGATGCAAGTCTTAAGAACCTCAGTGTAGTTTTACTATTGTATGTTCTCCTCTGAGCATGACGCTCTTAGATAGCATGTTACTTCAAAGAATGTTTTTTCATGAAATATTAACTTCATAATATTTCATTAATTATAATAGAAACCCAAGTGTAAAAACACATCTGCACTGAATATTCTTAATCCCAGCTTCAAAAGCATTTATTTCAGAATAAGAAGATATGAGCAGCTACTTTAACTTTTAAAAGCTGTCTTTGTTTTTGGGAATTAATCACTGTCATTTAGTTGGAAGAAACACTACTTGGTTTGTCCAAGATTCTTAAACTGCAGAATTACTAGAAGACCAAATGTTATTGTGCTATAGAAAATTGAGTTTACTGCCAAGTATGGTAATATTTTGTCCTGGATCATAAATGCTCAAAAAAAAAATCTTATGGCCTTCTACAAATCTACAGATAAGTATCACCAAATGCTTTCATAGTGGATGTCTTAGAAAATATTTTTCTCTGGAAAACACTCAGGAAATGCTGGCTAGTAGAAGCCATGTACCACAGATGCAATGACCACGTACCACACGTATCTCTGCTGTGGTTACTTTGTACAGAGCTCAGTAGTTTCAAGCATTGCTGATCCTCCAGAAAGAAGAGGGGTTGAAGCTGCCTTTCTTCACAAGAACGAGGGAGAAAAAAGTCAGACAACTGATGTAATCCCACAGACAAATCAATTTTCTTTAGAAGGCGACAAGCGCAATCTTTGTCTTCACATGTAAGTGAAAACTTTGAAACAGCTATTGAAGTTTTTATAAAAATTTACCTAAAATTATTTGCTGAATATAGAAAATTGGGATGCCTGGAATCTCTGAAAGCAACAGGAATACTTCCAGAGTAAAACTTTTACAGAATTCTACAACTACGTACCCAAGAATTCCTTCCAGGCTGGCATTCCTACCTTTTTGGGTCTTATGGACCTCCAAAACACTACCATGAGTTTCACTAGGAGTTAAATTATACCTCTGCATAAAATTCATTGCAACCACACAACTTAAGGATGTGAATGACTAGTCAAAGTACAGTGCCAGTAAAAAATTATTTGCTAATATTTGCATGGTATTTTTAATTAAACAAGAAAAGGGAGGGATGCAGATATTTACATAATTAGCCATCAAAACTTTGTGAAGCAATTCTAGATACCATCTCTGCCCTCCCAGGGAGTATTTCATAGGTGTTAATCATCTCAATGAGATTAGAAAAATAAAATAAATGGTTTCCCCTTAACCAATTAAGGTTACAAAAGAGAGCTGAATCAACTTCCAGAAGAGAAGCAGAGCCTCTGGGAAAAGGAGGTCTGCTAGCAAACAAGCATTCTTCCAACATAATGGTACGACATCTGTTTCCATACTTACTTTTTTCTTTTAAACTTAGATTATCTTATTTAGCTTTGAGATCAGACATTTCTCTCCTCAGTTTTTGCACAGCATGATGGCTCAGCTTTTGAGATACTACAGTATATCATAACATCACTGGATTGGTTTCCAAGGGAGAAATTTAAGGACAGACTCTCAAACATTTTTGAAATTTGTGATAAAGTTTGCTTCTCTCAGGAAAAACTTAACTGTGTTTACTAGCCTGCCTTTATTATTTGTTCAGAAAGCAAAAACCTACAAGCAATTGCTTGCCTACAAACATACTTAATTTTAAGGCATTGAGAGAAATTAATTAATATGTGCTAATCCTTCTCAAAGCAACATGAAAACCTGTCTTGAATTCCAACTTCACAGGCGAAAAAATGCTCATATTTTGTCCAGTCTGCTCTACAGTTAGAATTGTAAATAGATAAATCAAATTGTAGAGTTGATGGCAACTAAAAGCAATATAGAAGTGATATGCAAATGATGCCACTGTTTACACTATCCTGTTTGATATGTAATACAGCTACAGATACACAGTAATATAAACAATCATATATAAATTTGTTTTGCCTTCTGGGTGCAACAGAGGTGCCTTTCACCCGAGGAAAGAGATGCTGCTGAAGGTCTTGCATCCCATAGTCAGGGTACATTAAGTAAAAAATTTAATGCTGATGAAGAACGTATGAAAGGGTAAGTGTATTACGTATTTTGGCTAGTCATAGACGTGGTTTTCAACAGCTAAGTGAACAGATACATGCATGTACACTGCTATGTCTCTATACTGGACTCTGCATGAAACACTGAATAATGTCTAATACATATAAATGAGAGGATGCTCTCTTTTCAAGTTTATCACGAGTTAATCACATAAGGTATGTGATATACCAGACCACCGGAGAAATGGCAAATCTCCCATCAATTTTATTAAAGAGAGGATTATATTCATATTACAAAGTAGCCCATCTCAGTGGACCAGTATAAGGTTTATGGTGCTTAAATGGCACAGAGTTATTTTAATAGTGTATTAAAAGAAGAGGCTTTATCTTTGTTCTCTATTCAGTGATGCATGTCAGCATCCCAAATTGGGATGTTCAGCATGAACAGATGTGTTCAGCAATGAAAAATATTTGAAATTATCGTTGTCATGAACTAATCTGGTAGGCCTGGAAGGAGAGCATATTGATACATCTGCATATATTTCAAGTGTAAGGGTCAGTCTGTAAAGTTTCATTTACAGAAATGTCAACGTGATAAAGTAATTCTACGTGGGTTATTTTGGAGTTTGAAATTTTGGCAAATTAAATCTCTATCCAAAACTAGATCTTATAATACATGCAGTGTAGAACACAGTAGTAGTCATCTAAATATACTCTCAAATTATTTTACAGAGTAGATGTTAATATTTATCTAGTAAAACTCACCTAGCTTCCATTTTTTTTCTGTCATTTTAAGAAAGTTAGCTCAATCTTCTGATCATTATTTTCATGAATGGGTGGAAAATTTTCCAAATAAATTTGATGATACTGTATGCCCTAAGTTGAAAAAAATGTATGTCAGATAACGCAAACAAGGAACTTTGTTTTTGTTCTGTCAGAAGGTACATCTCAAATATTCCTCTAAGGGCAGTAAAATTAAAACTTTAATAGCTCTGAGTTACTAAGAAACAGTATCATCCTTACCATTGATAATACTTTGATGCAACATATGTGAACACATATATAAATACATAGGATTTCATACTACTTTGCTATTCAAAGATGTGATTATCAAGACCTCTACTTTTAAGCATTTTTAACAGCTCTGGTAAGTCAAGGTCCTTTTGTCAGAACACGTCTGTTAACTAAAGGGGTCATTATTTCGCAATTGGTTAATTTTTTACTTATGCTTCTACTTACCACCTTTTCAGATAATTGATACAGGTAGCATTCTTTCCATGAGCAAATCTGATTTCTCCTCAACTAAGAAGTGGTCAAACATTAATATAATACACTCATAAGGCTTGTCATAAAGGTATTAAGATGCAATTAAAATACCATTCTGTTTTCATGCTCAAAGAAATACAAACATCCAGGAAAGGAAAACTGGAACACGTTCACTCTTCATTCAGAGAAAACCAACTGATTTATCAGATACCAACCTGAGTAAGTAGTGATGGCATATAGAAGTCAGAACTGTGCTTATGCCTACTGTTGAATCCTGTTAAGAAATACATTTCTGTCACATCTCAACAGCATGAAAATTGGTTTGTAGTTTTAACAGATGTTACTGCTTAGCACAGCACAAGACACTAAGAATAAAAAGGAGACTAAAGAGGACACCAAGTCAAATTCACTTTGGAAGTCTCAGCGACAGACCAAGAGGCAACAGAGAAGCTGCAAGAGACTTTCCAGTTAGATACGAGCAAAAGAGTTTTAACTCTGGGTCTAGTCAGACATTGAAACGGTTTTCCCTAGAGAGGCTGAGGCATCTCCATCCTCCGAGATACTCAAAACTCAGCTGGACAGGGCCCTAAGCAACTTCATCTAAGTTGCCCCTGCTTTGAGAGGAGATTGGGCCAGGTGATCTCCAGAAGTCCTATCCAACCTGAATTACTCTAATGCTAATTCACCTTTTTAGATAAGTTTCCAAATGTTACTACTAACGTTTTCAAAAGCATAACAGTGGTGTAAACACAATGCTTTGATTTTGCTTTTTCTCCTTAAAAAGTGCATTTATTTCATTTCATGTCCTAGAAGGAGATTCCAAACTTGGTGACTGAAACATTTCATATCAGTACTTCCACTTTTAGTTTTTGGATTCAACTTTCTTACTCTGCATGAAAACAAAAGCAAAAAAGTTTTCCCAAATCTTTGATCCATTCAGCATCGAGACAGACTGGAAATATTCTCCTTCCTTAATCCAGCTCCTAATAATATAATTTCACCAAATCCAAACTAGAGCCCACACAGGCTACTGTGAGCTAGTGAACTCAGCTGTCAAGTCATCCAAGACTCCAGCTCTTGGAGGTTCACTAGGAATCTGTCGGCATTTGTTTCTCTTAGGGCATCCCAGTTTTATCTTTCCACTGCAGAATACTTTGAAGCTGTTAGTACTTAACAACTAAAAGATAATAGCATGAGCTGTCCTAAATTCAGTTTTAGGTCTGAATACGTAGGTTATTCTTACCTTTGGTCTACCTTTTGTCCTTGGCTTCTCTGCGATAACCACTTTAATATAATACACTGGGGGCATTATTGTTAGTACTGGTTTGTGCGATAGCTAAAACAGTGCCATACTAGATCCTCCCAAGTTCTCTTGTGACATTCCTCTTAGGCTGCATCGTTTTCCTAACACTTCAACTTGTAGGAATTTTAACCTTCAAAACAAGAACCTAAGGACAGGGAGACGGAGAGCTTAGGTTTTTTTTAAAAACAGTTCTGCAACTGGAAACAACAACTACTAAAAACCCATCTACATTTGAGGCTTACAGTCAGGGCTGAAAGCCAATCTTTAAAGTTCAATCCTCACCTGTAAAATGAAAGAAAAAGTACTTTCAAATTGCAGTAGTGTTAATGGCAGTGAAGGGCTCAAATTATGGTGCTGAAAGCCAAACAATTACCTAGGTACACAGGCCAAAATTTCTAGTATTTCAGACATTTTTAATGTATTTTTGGGATTTTAGGCAGCGATTCAGAAGACATCTCAGCCTATGATTCTTACAATGATTCACAAAGCGAGGAACTTGTGAACTGTGAGACTGAAAGTTACAGGACATTCAATACAAGATTATGTGGAGAGAGAAAAGGTATAATGATTGCAAAAATACTAAAATCTACACCAAAATATTCTTGTTTATAGTGGGGGTTTTTTCTAAACAACATGTCTTTGTTCGCAGGACTTAGATGCAGATGCCCTAGAGGAAGCAGAGATCAATTTAAACTCAGGAATTACAAAGACTCTGTTCAGTCTTGTGCCCTATGTAGAAATAAAAGTTCTGCTTCATCCTGTAAGTATAATGAGTTACTGAAATAATTACCAACCACAGGCTAAATTTTAAGGGGCAGAAAGCCACACTGCACATAAACAGGCCAAATTTATGTTGCACAAGTATCAGGCCAAATTTAATTTAGTATAAGCAATCAGTAGCACCGTAGCTAAATAGTGGACGCGTAACAGATCTTGTAGAGCAAAATCAGCAACTTTTACACACCTAGCCAAATTTAATCCCCATGCACAAGAGCTTTAACCTTCTCTGGTTCTTTATGAGAGGAGTCCCTTCCATACTTCCATTTATGACAGGAATATCTCATTTTGCAGAGCCACATGAGAGAATATTCAAACTGGGCATCACTGTGCCAACTTCTTCAGTGCTAGCTGTTACCTCATGTAGCGTAAACAAGTACTAAAGAAAACTCCAGCTGTACACTCAAATTGTGTGACATGCAGCAAAGGCAAGGAAAGCCTAATTTAAACAAAAAAACATTGAACATCTAGCTTTTAAAGTCACTTATCTCAGACTCCTCTCTCTATACTGCAGGAAGAAAGTGCACACAGAAAAATACAAATTTTCAACAGTGGGAAGAAAGTATAAGTTAGCTGCTTCTCTATATAAATACTGTAAAACTATAAACAAAAGTAGTATTCATGTCATTATTAGGATTATGAGAGTCTGATTATTCCACACTCCCCCCTGCAGTCTTTCACTGTATGAAAAGGAATATAAATCTGCATACCATTTGTGACATAAGTAAACTCAACAGCAAACCCAAAAAGGTTAATCTGTCCTCATTTACAAAAAATCTTAAACATATTCAAGTTTTATTCAGCAGTGATAGTTACTTGATTTTTTCTATTTATGCTAAATAGAGAAAAATGTTAAATATATAGAAAACTACTTTTTTTTTGCTTTTGTTTTAAACATGGCCTCAACGACTCTAGCTTATTCACAGAAGAGAATCCCCACTCAAAAGGGTCAAAAAAATAAACAGCCACATGAACTTGTAAACAGACTTTCTGAGAGGTAAGCTGTAGCAATAACTATATGTAGTACCACGGAAAATGCCATTGTTGAAGATTCAGCATGGAAGAAACTCACCAGTATCATAAGCAGGAGGAACGCATTTTCTCTTTTGCGGTGCATGCTGTATATTAGAATTTTACTCAGTAACAAAATATTTACCCTAAGAGCAAGTGTAAATAATCATCAGAGTAGTTCTTCAATCTTTCTAATTTAACGAAGAGTCAACATCTGGCTTCTTTAGCTCACATTTGGTAAAAAAAAAAAAATCTCACTTTATTAAGAGGATGTTCCCATTCACAGATTCAAAAGCAGGTCTGTATTATTTAAGATGCAATTCTGTTTGCTACCAATAAGTAATAGTTCCACTTTAAACTGTTGTTAACATTAAATTACGCTGGGAGTCTGAAGTAAAATGGATTCTTTACTATAGCACAGACTAAACTGACACTCAGACAAGTTTTGTTACCGGGGTTTTTGACAGCAGTAATTGCCTGGCAGTACAGCAGCTGCACTTGAGAATCAATGGCATAGACCACTCTGGGAGAGAAGGTGACGGCACCAAGAATGCGATGCTATTATGAGACATTTCCTGACTCTGCATCCTGGAATGTTTCTGTCTTACTGCAATAAAACGTAGTACAAATTATGACGGACTGTGTTTTACAATTAAATTAAAAATTCTACTCACTGTAAAATTAACTTGCAACTGAGTATGCTATCAAGGTGTATATACTTAATTCCTAGTTTAGAAATTCTTTTGCTTTTTAAAATTGTTTGTATTTTATTCTATATATCTTATTCCTTAGGCAAAACTTTGAGGCTGCCAAAACCTGCTATTCAAGCACATATGATAAAAGCATCCTTTCACATCAGTACTCACCCAGCAAGAAGTCTGCCCGAAGCAAATCTGCAATCAGCATCAGAAACAGAAATGCCAGTGATTCCAATGCAAATGTAAGACTTTAGAGTGAAAATTAAAAGCCACACAACTATCTTGGGAAGAGTACATCCCCACATCATGGCACTGTCGAACATCCCCATTCTTAGCAAGTTGATTATTACAGTCTAAGCATGCCTAGTCCATTTCAGGATAAGACAGGAGAGAGTTAAAAAAATAAGTATTTTAGCTTATCTATTAGTATATTACTTCATATGAGTATGTTACAGACTTTTTATGCAACTTAGTCTCTGTATAAATGGTGAAAGGGACAGAAAAGGAGCACTGGATCTTACCTCTGGAATTATGTTTCATATACTGAAACAAAGAATGTCACCCTAGCTATACAAACCACTATCAAAACCAAAAGAAAACCTTCTCAATACAACAAACATGCACCACACTGGGGCTGCTACTTCAGAAAGGTGTAAATATCCCTCAGTTCAAAGGATTACACAATCAAAGAGAAAGAAATAACAGATACTTCCAACTTGAATCCTGGAGCAGTATATCGCATGACTCAGAATTTTTACTTCTCAACATGTATTCAGTGTGAAAATGCTACATAGAACCTTAAACAAACACCACTTTCTATTCTATACCCATGTAAATACTCGCCGTCGGTATTAACAAGGCTGTATTTTATTATTCCCAACAGATTTTAAGTTCTACTCTGGATCATGCCATACAGACAGCGAACAGTTTGAAGAAAGCTACAGAACGAATGGTACAAGCGGTTTCAGAAGATCTAGCTAAAGTTAAAAGAAAACAGCTTTAATTACCCAGTTTCAAATGCTGTATTGTTTTGCTGGTTGATACTGAAGTGTCAGTATCTCTGCAAATATAAAAAGACAAATACAAAGGTCAGAAAGTCAGCTAGCTGACTTTGCCAGCTGTTCTGTAACTATCAGTACTAAACTAAGCCCAGAGCATATTGGTATTCTACATGTTTACACTCCGCCTCAGAACTGGAAAACAAATCACTAATTCTACTGAAAGTCTGTAGTATGTTGGCTAACCCCGCTACTGTGTACAGCTGCCTTCTCTAAGCATTCACTTCAGATAGCTTAATAAAAATTGGCTTAAACAAGCAAGGTTAACTTTTTGACTTTTGATTTCTCCCCACCCCCAAATAGGAGACAAAATCTGTCATTGCTACATATTTTTCCCCCCACACCGTAACAGCAGCTGCGTAAGCACATCAACAAAGGGAAACAGCCTCTGCACCCGAGACATCTATAAGCATCACGCTAACATACCAAGTCATAGTTAACATATGTAATTACTTTGTTTTTAGTGTCCTACATCAAGAGTTGTTTAAGATACTTCCTTGCATGTCTTAGTAACTGAGTAATACCATTTGTTGTCTACATATTCCTAACAAATTGTCTGTTTCTTCAATGTGGTGTCCTTACCTTGTCAGAATGTGCTGGGTTTGGCTGGGGTAGAGTTAATTTTCTTCACAGCAGCTGCTATGGGGCTGTTTTGGATTTGTGCTGAAAACAGTGTTGATAACACAGGGATGTTTTTGTTACTGCTGAGCAGTGCTGACACGGAGTCAAGGCCTTTTCTGCCTCTCACCCCACCCCACCAGCGAGCAGGCTGGGGGGGGCACAAGAAGTTGGGAGGGGACACGGCTGGGACAGCTGACCCCAACTGACCCAAGGGATATCCCACACCATGTGGCGTCATGCTCAGCATGTAAAGCTGGGGGAAGAAGGGGGAAGGGGGGGACGTTGGGAGTGATGTTTGTCTTCCCAAGTCACCGTTAGGCGTGATGGAGCCCTGCTTTCCTGGGGATGGCTGAACCCCTGCCTGCCCATGGGAAGGAGTGAAGGAATGCCTTGTTTTGCTTTGCTTGTGTGCACGGCTTTTGCTTTCCCTATTAAACTGCCTTTATCTCAGCCCACGAGTTTTCTTACTTTTACCCTTCCGATTCTCTCCCCCATCCCAGTGGGGAGGAGTGAGCGAGCAGCTGGGTGGTGTTTAGCTGCCAGCTGGGATTAAACCACAACACAGATATATCTGGCTTTGAGATTTTAGCTGATGGTAAGTAGGCTGGAAAATTTTAAAATACTGTAGAAATACAGTGGGACAAGAAAAGTCATCTATTATTTTTCTTCTGAAGTCCATTTAAGTGCAGTGATTAAAAACAAGCAGAATTAACAGCCTTGTATTATCAGGGATGCTATTCACTGAAGCAATTGAAAGTATATAGGGACTGGCAGAAATCATCACTTCAAGCGAGAAGTGATAGTGCATTGCTTAAAGAGGACAGTCATTTTCAGGCAAACCTGAGTGGTTTCATCAGGTGATGGATACAGAGATAATCCAGACTCTGTCCACACAAGCAGCGATAGCTAAACTTGCTGCTGTGTACCGCTGATTTACTAGCTTCAGTCAATGCCTTTTTTTCACGGCTTCTTCCATGCTTCACAGCCAACAATACCATTAACCTTTCTTTTCTCCCTTAGGCTCTTACTGTATATCCTTAGAACTCGATTTGCCTCTGCTTATTAACCATGGTTTTGCTTTATTTATCTTAAGGTAACAGCACAGGACAGTGAAAGGCTCCCCCCCCTGTGCTACATTAACATTTGGAACTTCCCTGTTTACTTGGCAAGTGAACTTAATAGCTGAAGTAATTGACCACTGCAAGTTTCATGCGTTACTTCACACCCTGAATAGGAAGGTAACATGTCTGTCTCTTCAGTCTGCACACTAACATGATTTTTTTCAAGGCTTCCCTCACATTCTCGTCCATCACCTTTTTTCCCTTGATCAAGGATCCTATTCTAGCCATTCTTGACATGGAAATTGTTCCATACCTTTGATTTTCCTCTTAGTCATCTCTGAATCTTCAACTTGAGAAATAATAAAGATACATATTTCCAAGTGCAATTTATCTAGGGTAATCAGACAAACATCTGAGCTTATGTGAATCTGGGCCCACATGTATGGGATAGGTATCTATTTTAAGATGTATAATATGAAAACAGGACCTTTCAAAATTACAATATACCTTGTACATATACTCTAAAATACTAGGTTTTGGGAGGGAAGACGTTTATCTTGATACAACTCTTCCCCATTCTTGATAAAAGAATTCTTGATCTAGAAAAAAGTAGCCAAGAAGATACTTGGGGGGGGGGACACACACATCTTTACAAGAATTACTTCCCGCCCCCCACCTCCACAAGCTCCTGTAATAAACCAGGAGCTGGTTAGGGCTACATATTGCTGTCAGATTTCTTATCTTAAAGGATCTCTATTAATCCACCTTTACAGCAATGTTTGGCTTTGCCTTCTGGAAAAAGTGGGTGATGGATTCCAAAACTCCAAAGTCTTAGCCTTGTATTTATCAGCTATCAAATTTTGAGCTGGTGATAGCACTGAAGTCTAAAGCAAACACTTGGAGACAAGCTTAACTGCTGAATATGCAAAAGTAACCCAACATTTCAAGCTGGTATTTCTTCAGCTCTATGCATCAAACATCAATATAATGGATTTTATATAAAAGGACTGAAAAAAATTATTTCAGTCCTTAAGTAGGACACTTCAGTATCAGTTATTTTGTTCTGTATTTATTGCTTTTAAGCTTTGGGAATAGGAAAAAAAATTGCAACTACATATAGCTTTTACACTGAACTTGGGTTCTTCTTGCCGAAGTGTAAGGACTATATATAATTGAAGCGTAATTGTTTAATACTGATTTCAAAGTATGCATCTTTAGTAAGAAAATGTTGAACGCTACATTTCTTAAATACATACTTTTACTCTGGATTTTAATTGTGATATTTATATAGTTAGAAACTAGAATTCAGAAAAACATTGTAGATATTTTTATTTAAAAAATTTTTAAAGTTTTGATGCACATTTGATGAACCAGTTAAATTAAAAAAGGTGTTGTTCCTGTATTCCTATTGAAAATAAAGTCAGTAAGAGTTAGATGCCCAACTCACGCAGGTGCACTTGAAAGCTACAGCCCCTTATCCTCATCGTGCCCCATGTCCTGCAACATTTTAGAATCGTTATATAATGTTCTCCCATTTCATCCCTCTGAGGTAGCGGGGGAAGTTTGACCTTTTTCCACCTTCTAATTAACTTTGAATGAACTTACCTAGCAAAGACGTTCTCTTAACCTACTAGTTAACCTGAGGGCAAAATTAAGGGAAAAGAAACAAAACCACCTTTCTGCAAAACAAAAAATGAATACCCTTACAGTTGGGAAAAATGTAACTAAAAAGCCATGAGTAATCTATTCTTCTTCATTATGACATTTCTCTCAGATTCTACATGCAAACTAACATTTCAAGACACGTCAATACAACATCCCTTTAAAAGGTAAGTTTACACTTAAATAATTTTCTAAGACAAATCTAAACACTACCAGTATTACAGAATTAATACAATTTAGAATTTATTTGATCCCCTTCAACACAAATTTATGTATTACTTAGTATGTAGCAAAGTAGAAAACAGTAAATTCTCTTGAATGTATCAGGTTTTGGTATTTGGTTTGCTTTTTGCTTTTCTTTTTTAAAGTACAAAGCCATTTGAAAGATTCAACTGCTTCCCTTCTTTTCCTCTCCGTTTCCCCTGCCCCCACTCCCCCAAAAAGAGAATTTACACTTAAAATTTTGGAACTTGTACATCACAGGCAATTCAACTTATAAAGCAGACAGACTATGTAGACACCATCATAAGGAAGTTTGCAAGAAATCAAGGTGGGGTTTTTTTTGTTTTGTTTTTTTTTTTTTTTTTTTTTTAAAGCTTTAGTAACAATCCCTGTACATACTTAAATATAAAGTGGACTTCAGTGCACAGTTGACAGCATTTCTCCGAAGTTATTTATTGAAATTAGAACTGCTTAGTACTTCTGTGATTAACTTTCTACCTTACCCATCACCATCTAAAAAAAACCTTTTGATTTTTCACAATTGCATATATTTAAAGAATTTTCAGCGAGTTATTTTACAGAAAATATTACAGCTTGAGACACTGCGCTTGTGTGAAATATTTTTACCATAAACTCGTATTTACAAATTTTCTTCTGAAGCCTCTACCTAAGAACCTAGGCCCTTTTTAATTCAGTCATTTTTAGAAATATAGCTCTATTATAGAAAGGTTTCACAGTTCTCAAACAATTCCAGTTTATATATAATCATGATAACTTTTAGCATAATTTGTTAGGAATGAACATGCCCTTTTGAAAAAGCACTTACAGTGTAACACTGTCTATACTAAATACAACCTAAGAAACACACGTGTTGATTTTTTCCTCTCTTTGCCCCCTACTCCCCCCAAAAAGTAGCAAATTTAAATTATAAAATTACATTCCATTAATCAGAACCACGTAGTGTCCTGGTGTAGTATTTAGAAAAGTCAATTCCGTAAGAGTATGTACATACTATTTGTCTTTTCCTAATGCATCATAAACATCACCATTTCTATTCGTCCTTAGTGCAGACCACATCCTTCGGTTTACTAAGGCTCTTTACTTCATCCAGTAGTCCTTTAGGTGTCAAAATATGAGTAGAACCTGACAAAAGAACATAAGTGTCAACTGTATCAGTCTGAAATTCTGACTTTCAGACATTCCCTCTTAAAAAAAAATTCAGTTTTTTTACTGTAACTGGAAAACTGAAAAAGTACAACAGTTGAAAATGTTTTCATGTGCCGTCATATAAAGTGTCATCATATAAATGGAAGTGTCGACATCAGGCAGGCAGTGCCCCTATTCCACACACTGAGACAGCCAGACATCCAGATTAGGACTCTTACTTGGGATACAAGTTTCAAGTCCCTGCTCTGCCTGGTTTGAAACATTGGCTTGAACCTGGGCCACTTTCACTGTATGCAATTGTCCCAGCCTGCAAGAAGTCTGCCCATTCTGTGAAAGGCTGAGTTAATGACAGATTTTATCCTAGAATCAAGGAACCATATGGATTAGAGATTATCACAAACAGTAGTTTTCCACAGAAATATCAGTTAAAGAAAATTGGCTTTTATTAATATTTCCTTGAAAAATTTGCAACAAATTCCAAGTCTGGAGCAGCAAAGAAAATCCTTATGAATCTTCAGGAGTGCACAATTAACCTCTCTTGTTCTCACAGAGAGAGTGATTTAAACTTCTGCTGTGAAGGGTCACCGTACAGTTACAAAGGGCACTCTTAACTGTTTAAGATTAAGGCTACCTTGAGTTTTAGTACTGTCAATCTGAATGGGCTAATATTCCACAAGTTCTGAATCAGGAATACAGAAAGGTTTTCATCCTGCAGCACGGAAATTTGGCAGTTACCACCTTCCCTCAGAAATCAGGATTACAAATAAAACTACAAGAATCATCTCTAACCAAAAGGGAAGACGGCACTATGGTTAGTGCCAGATATTACAGTGAAAGAGTGACCTACACTAAACATGGTTTTGTAAACAAGTCTCAGATGAAGAAACAGTCCTGTTTAACTACATTCCTGTTGTCCCCATCTTCCCATTGCAACTCAGAACTAGGACCAGCATTAAACCTACCTCAACCACCACCACCGAAACCAGCGAACAATCAGCAAAAAACCAACCACACATACAAACACACCTACAACACCCCCCACTATTTCGAGGTAACAGACTCTAGATCTCAGAATCAAGGTTTCTTCCTTGCTTTAGGGAAGAGTATTTATTTATTTAAAATTACAGTAGATATAGATTTAATCCTTTCTGAAACTCCAGACTAGATTTAATTGCCAGGCATAGGCATCTCAAGCAATTTAGAATGCTTTAGATGACCCTGCACCCGGACACCAGCTGCCACTCCAGATGGATACAAGTCTCTGGTAAGGTTCTATATCTAGGAGCTCTGTTTTGATAGATCATGTATGCAAATGTTTTAGCACCTTAGTTGAAACAGCATTACAGGAATTGATTATTTGAAGCACAGCAGCTCACGAAACAGGCATTTGCTGCCTCTGAAGAGAAATTACTGCCCCAGCTGGTAATTCATGCATTTACTGCTGAGTCTTAAGATTAGGGAGATTACTCCAGTTTTCAGGGCAAAAGCTATAAATCACGGTGTGGTTTGTGTAAAGTCTCTAAAGAAACCATGACAAGAACTAGAAGATGTTGCAGAGCCTGAGCTACGCTGAAAAAGTTTTTTGGGTTTGTCTGTCTTGTTCGGATTTTGGGGTCTTTTCAGTGTTTGTGGTTTGTTTGTTTTTTTAAAAAAAAAGAAAAATACTTATCTTCCCTTCCTCCCAAACTGATTAGTTTTGCACTAGTCTGACAGCTTTCCTGCTTTCAAAAGCTATGACAGTAATAAGTGTAGCTGCAGGTAAAGCACAGGCAGATGCAAAAGTTTGTGAGGAAACTGTAAAGCAAGGAAATATAGGTCTGTTTAAATCCTTTTTGCTATACATCAGGTTACTTCAATAATATATTCTCTGACTTAATTCATGATGATTCTTCTGTAGAGCATAACTGTATTTATTGTCCTTAATATCTTGTTGCAAAAAAAACCCCAAACATCAAGCAATCTAGATAATTTGAAAAGATACTGCTAAATGCATAGGTTTAAAAAATACATTGGCTAGTACCAGTTCACTGAACCAACTTAGGGAATGTCAGAAAAAAGATCCTTACATTTTGCAGAAACACATGTAGTAAACCCCTACATACCACCCTTTTCCCACGACAAGCTTACCAATAACAACTTCACAGGACTTGTAGGCTTGAGAAACTTCATAAGCACTGCGCATCTCAGAATATGTAATGCCTCCAATCACAAATATAATCAGTCTTGCACTACTCTTTCGCTCATCTTGATAACGAGCTTTAGGTTTCTGGCGCGCACTGTAAAAGAGTTCATAAGATGACATTTATATAGCTTCACTGATTAATTTTGGTAAAAATTATACACTTAAGCAGTAACAATTTCTGTCATGCAGTTCACAGTGATTATTATTTCAGCAAAAGGCTTTAGACAAATTGATAACTAAAAGAATTTTAACGAAAACATGTTAGCACATTACTTGGAAACTATTCAGTTATCACAAGGGGGAAAATAAATACAAAGCAAAAAGCTTGCTGCACACACAGCTCACAAAAAGGACTTCTATGGAGCAGCTTAATTCTGCATGCTAGCAATTCTAGTGGCATTTTTCATGACAGGTTCTTTTGAAAAAGCTAGAGTCTTAGGTTTTTCAGTCTCCAAACCTGAACAGAATCTCTAAAAAAAAAAAAATGTGGCTGTTATCAAATAAGATTCAGATAGCTAGAAACAAACAAACAAACCTCTTAAAATATACTTTTAACACCCGTATAGTAATTGCAGATTCAGATTAAATCTTCTGCAGTCTTGATCTCTTTGCTAGGGTGCCTAAAATATTCCCAAATTTCACCAGCCGATAAGACAGAGATCCAGTTATAACGTACAGTGACTTGCCCTAGTGTTTCCTTGCACTGATCTTCCTAGTGCGTATCCAGGAACTAGTTAGTGGTGGAAGCAACAGAATTATTTTCTTAAGGCTGTGTATCTGTACCTTTTGTCTTTTTTTTTTAAGGTACAAATTCCAATTCAAGTATGTCCACCACATTTAGGATATGTATAATGTTTCCCTCCCT